GATATCTATGGGTACAAAAATACTCCCTCTATCCCTATTTAATCTTCATGTTTAGAATAATGATTTATAATTAGAGTTGTTTTCAATTCAACTTATTTCAATATTGGTGTAAAATTCGTTCTCTCTGTGGCATCTGTTGTAACGTCAATTTTGGTTCATGTTCTAGCAATTAAGTTTAATGAATGTCTTTGGATTCTTTGGCTGCAGAAAATATAATCTGGGTGTTGTCTTCAATTTTGTCTATGCAAAATATATTTGTGAACTATTTGGATTCTTTATTTGTGAACTCTTTTTAAAGTCATAAGATTGCTATAAGTACCTATTCAGGTTAGTAGTCTTTACATTTTGAATTTCTTCTGGATCATAATAGTCCTTTAATATAAAATTTGAGAGTTGAATATGTAGAAAACTGGCAGGTGGCATTTTTTAAGGCTTAATTTTTTGACACGTAATGTTTACACGCGTCTTCTCTAGGTTTTTTTCACTTCTTCGCTCGATCTTCACGCACTCCCGCAATCCTCTCCTTCGCCAAAATCAGGGTTTTTTTCACTTCTTCGGCGACTTCACGCAGCCCTCTTCTTTTCCAGTTCTCTAGGTTTTGTTCACTTCTTCAGCGACCATGGACAAATTGGTGGGAAGCCATTAATTGCGAGCACGGATGTTGAATGCACTGTACATACAATAGCAAAGGTTTTACTCTTCCTCTTTTTGAAATATTTTTTATAATTCTCTCTATACCCTAATTGAAATTAAATATTGGTGAATCGACACAGAAACTCTGTAATGTTCTCATGAATGGAAACTAAACCAGTGCTCAAAGAAAACCTCAATTCACAAATATCAAGTGCAGTAGCTATATCTGGCACAAGGACACATACAAAATGAGTAACAGCTACGCTTGATTGATCTATATTAAGTATATTCTGAAGGAGAAACCAAGCTACCTGTATTTAGATAATCTATGACTTTTTTATCAGCAACCCGAACTCTCCCACATCCACCTTTAACAGTGCCAGAAGCTTATGTGGGTTATTGATCTCAGGGCATCCATTAAGCACTCTAAAGCCACTGGTGCTAATCCACTCAGAACCAGCAAAGTTCCCATATTTATTACAGTACGTATTAATCAAGTATCGGAATGTTAAGCCTAAGGTTTTAATCCACTAAATAGTATATTTTTATTGCGTTAGGCATTGATCGGGCTATTGTTTTCGAACATGGAGAGCCCAGGGGGCTGTGATTATATTTTGCACAGGCAAAGACGATGGCTTGCATAGTCGAAGACTACGGCTGACCGATCTAAGCCAGCAACACCACCCGTAGATCTTCTTTTGCTTCTTTCAATGTGGATGGTGACGATCAAGGCTACAGGTCTTCTTTTCAAAGTGGCGGCAAGGTAATGATTCTTACACTTTGGTTTCAATTGTGTTAATATTCAATTTATAGTTTCTTAGATTTATAAATACTGACACATTTAGGTTATAAATATGTTAAAGATTTCATTTTCTCTTCATTGATCTGTTCTTGATTCATGTTGTGTTTTATTATAGAATTTTGGTTTCGATTGTGTTAAGGATTATATTATTTCTCCGTTGTTCAATTCATGATTCACCATTCCACCTCGAATGTGTTTTTTTGTATTTTGTTTTTCAATGAGAAATGTAGATCACTAGAAGTAATACCAGCTATATGAGTTAGAATATGATTTCTTTTTTTAATCCATCCCAATTAGCGCATTGTGCTCTAAATCTTCTCTCAGGAAATTCAGGCTTGATGACATACTTTTCACTGCATTGTGCTCTAAATTTAAGTCATAATCATTTCGTTGGACCTATGCCAAAATCTGCTAAATTTAGAACTGTACAAACTATGCAAGTCTTCATTAAATGAGATATTTTGTGTGCAAATGATACATTGATGCTGGACTTTTGATTTGTGAGTTTTCTTTTTTAGCTAAGTATCTTCACCGCGATCATAGAACAACAGCGATATGATTTTTCTTCATCATGATATATTTAAGATTTTTTAGATTATCGTTTTGTTGTTTGGTTTTGATAATTGAGTTATTTTGAAGGTATGCTCTTAAACATCAAATCATCTTCACATTGATAAATTTGAGTGAAATGTTTTAGACTAGGTAAATCTTCTTCACTTACATGAGATATTTTTTACAGGTTTGCTTGGAGAAATCAATAAAAAGTTCATTTGAACTACAATTATGATCTTCAGTTGCTTCTTTGTTTAGATTTCCAACAATTTCATACAAGTACTATGATTGTTTCCTGCTAAAGAGTTTTTCATGGTAGAAACACTCATATAGAGTTTGAGCATACTGGAAATCCTAGCAAAATCTTAGAACAAGTGATGGCTGAACAACATACTATATGCATTTATCTAAGGTTATTGTTAATGATATTTTTGAGTTTAAATTGGATGTAAAAAGATGCTTTACTTTGCCTAAATCTCTCATGATGCTCTTGACCATTCCTAGATTTATATTGGGTTTATTTTTTTGGGATACAATACAATGCTATATTGTTACTTTAATTTTTGTATCAAGTTTTGAAGATGATTTTTTGCTATATCGGATTAATATACATTTTTTCTTGGTTTAGATTATACGAGTAAATTCATATATTTGTTAAGTTTATAAATTGAACCAGATTTCTACCATAATTTTTGAGGATTATATATCTAAATATACAATACTTTTAATCAATTACAAAAAAGTGGTAGGTGAACATCAAGGTAGAGATAGTATTGACGTTTTAGATACTGAAAAATACACTTACTATCTTCTATTTTACAAATAATTTTTATTAATATAGTATTAATACCTTTTTATTTTTTAAGGAAACAAATTTTTTACCGTTGATTAATTTGGTACTGTCTGATCTTGGATTACCATTGAGGTTTCAAAGAAGACAATTTCAAATATCTTTATATTTTACCATGACTATCAATAAGAATTAAGGCTAAATATTTTCATTTTTTGGATTATTTTTTACAAAATCAGTATTTACTCACAGACAACTTTATATTACATTTGAAAGAGTGAAAACAAAGACAAATTTGAAAGTGTATTTTAGATGATAGCGGTAACTCTTGCAACAAAACAAAAAATAATGTATACCCTCAAGTTTTTCAAAAGATTTGGATTTAAAATTATACTTTTACATGTTCTTTTTGCTTTGTATATATATGAATTTTGGATATCACATATTTATGGTATATCGCCCATTAAATTCTATAGTTCAATATTATAATTTACTTTATTTATTGTCATTAACTAAGAACAAAAAATTAATTGAGTAAAATAAATAAATTGTTCCACCCCGTGCGTTGCACGGGTTAAATACTAGTATAACTAAATATCTACGAAAGTAGAGGTGACATGATTATTTTTTATCAAATAAATATTAACGAAAATAGACTAACAATGTAAATAAAGTTTGATTCAGTAAATAGAGAACGAGAAGACAACTTAGATAGGATAAAGTTATTTGTAGCCTAAGAATTTGTACCTCATTTTGTACACTGTAGAGATGCACTAACATTTTGTGCTAGTGTAATGCTAATTGTTATTAACGCACCAACACTTTGTGTCATTGTAAATTTTTGTTAACGCACAAATACTTTATATCAGTGTGAACCATCGAAATGTTGGTGCATACCTTTGGTGTACAAATGGGGTAGAAAACTACCAATCTTGGGGTACATGTAGCATACTCCATTTAGATAACATTTTTATTTTTTAAAAGAGAAACGGTATCCCCATATTTATTCCTTAAAAGAAAAAGTGGGGGAACCAACGCTAATTTATTTTAAAAAGTTTTTAAACGTGCAAAGATAGGGAAAATGAAAGTTTATTTGAAGAACAAGCGAGTAAAAGGAACAAGTAACATTTACGTCTCGTTTGGCATTAGCATTTAGAAAAGGCTATCTGACGGTAGCTTTTAGCGTTAGCGTTTTTCGAATTAGTCTACATAATTGATATTTTATCAAAACGCTAATTGAAAACGCTTTTTCCAAACAAGGCCTTAATCTTTTATCTTATATATATATATATATATATATATATATATATATATATATATATATATATATATATATATGATAGGTACTGGACAAGTCAACCTATGTATGGGGGAATGAAGGGTCTCTCTGACAAGCTAAGAGGACTTAAAGCTGTTCTTAAAACCTGGAGCAAACGAACATTTGGGGACATTTTTGCAGCTGTCAAGGAGGCTGAAACATTAGCCCAGCAAGCCCAGGAAGCATATGAGGCTAATCCAGATGATAATCTAAGAAGTCTTGCTAATGAAGCTGGTGCTAAATTAATTGAAGCTACTAATAGGGAGACACTTTTTTGGAAACAGAAGGCCAAACTTCTATGGATGGAGAATGGGGACCAAAACACTTCCTTCTTTCACTCCTTTGTAAAGGGAAGAATGACCAAACTCAAGATCAGAAGTATTAAAGATATTTCAGGAAAACTTATTGACCATGAAGAGGGCATTAAAACAGCAGCTGTGGAGTACTTTTCAGAAGTTTTCAACAAACATAACATATTTGAGGCCCAAAGCATCCAACACTATATCCCACTTACCATCAGCACTGAAGATAATCACATGATGTCCAGGATTCTAGATAATGAAGAAATCAAGAAGGCAGTTTGGGACTTGAACCCTAATAGTGCAGCTGGACCGGATGGGTTCAATGGGTACTTTTTCAGAACTTGCTGGGAGATTATAAAAGGGGATGTGATCAAGGCCACACAAGAATTCTTCCTGGGGATTTCAGTTCCACAGGCATTTGGAAGCACCTTCATAACCCTAATCCCTAAGAAGGATAACTGTCATCTCTTCTCAGATTTTAGGCCAATCTCCCTTTCTACTTTTATGAGTAAAATTAACACTAGGATCTTGGCCTCTAGACTACAAGTCCTAATACCCAAGATGGTCTCAAAGGAACAGTCTGCATACCAAAAAGGAAAAGGGATTGATGATCAAGTTCTTATGGCAAGTGAAATGCTGCACAACATTGATAAACAATGTGAAGGAGGGAAAGTGATAATCAAACTGGATATGGCAAAGGCTTTTGACAAAATTGAGTGGAGTTTCCTTGGAGGAGTCTTGGACAAATTTGGGTTTAACCCTAAGGTTCAGGATCTGCTGCTTGAAAATCTGGTTTCCACCCATGTCTCTATTCTAATTAATGGCTGCCCTACTGGTTTCTTTAAAATGAAAAGAGGTGTTAAACAAGGGGATCCTCTGTCCCCACTCCTTTTCATCATTGCAAGTGAGGTATTTTTCTAGAATGATCATCCACAGCTTTCAAAGACAAATTCTGAAAAACTACAACACGGGAAGAAATATACTGGTGAGTCATCTTGCTTATGCAGATGACCTAATTATCTTCCTCAATGGTGGGATCAGAAATCTACTCAAGTTCAAACAAATTCTCAACAACTACACAAGAGGGTCAGGGCAGGAAGTTAACTACAGAAAATCCAGATTCTGTGGTGGTAGGAAAACACCTCAACCAACTATAGTGAAAATGGAAAAGGCTCTGAATATGACACATGAGAAATTTCCATTTAAATACCTTGGAGTGCCAATATGCAAGGGAAAGCTCAAAAAGGCACATTGTCATGAAATTCTGAAACATTTTGACCGTTATATCAATAGTTGGTATAGCAAAATGTTGACTCCAATGGGAAGGCTTATACTTATTAAACATGTTCTGTCCTCTATTCCATTACACTACCTGGCAGTACATAGCCTTCCAGTCTCCATCATCAACAAATTACACAAAGAAATGGCCAATTTCCTTCGGGGTTACAGTAATGGAAAACCTAAATATCATTAGAGGAATTGGGAGTCCTTATGCAGGCCCAAGGATGAAGGAGGGTTAGGAATAAGTGACTTGAGAGATATACAACAGGCCTACTCCATGAAGCTGTGGTGGAAGGCACACACAAATGACTCTATCTGGGCCAATTTTACTAGAGGAAAATACTTCAAAAGAGAGTCTTTCCAAGAAAGACTAACAGATTCTCCAATCTGGAAAAGAATCTGTAAAATTGCAGCTCAAGCAGAGGAGCATTCAGTGGTTGTTAATGAAAATGTAAGATGGGAAGATGGGGAATTTACACTCAAGAAGGGGTACCATATATGCAGGAAGGTTGGCTCTACTCAAATAAGCTACAAGTTTGCATGGCACAAATTACAAATACCCAATATTAGGCTCTTTCAATGGAAAGTCCTGGAAGAAATCCTACCCTTTCCAAACTTAGCAAGGAAGCTTGGTTTCCATTTGCCATCACAATGTCCCTTCTGTAAAAGAAATGAGGCAAAGGCCAATCACACTTTGTTGCATTGTGAGCTTAGCAGTAATATATGGAATTTCTTCATCAACCTGCTCCAAGGTCCAAACATTAGAGAAGGAATTACCATTAGACAACATTCGATTGAATCGGGTTTAAGATCATCCAGTAAAAACATGAGGGGAAACCTCACAATTCGAATAGCTCTAAAAAACATCAAATCCACAATTCAGAATTGGTGTTGGAATAATAGAGGAAAAGGTTGGATGATTAAGGACCCCGAACTTTTTAATCTGGGTTTTCAAACTATATGCCTAAAAGGGAATTCATTACCTACCTTTGCTAGATGAATCTCGAGGCAAGGCCAGAAGAAATGCCAGAAGTGGGAAGAACGAAGGAGGGGTCATCTTCAACGATGCTTATGCAGGGAAATATGCGTCTGTCCAGAGAACGAACTATACCGTCTTTCTCCCTTTCTTTTTGTATTTTTGTACCCCTTGCCATTTTAAGTCTATTTGGTTTTCTTGTTTTTTTGGATGTATTGATGATTGTGCACTTAGCACAATTCTCGTGTTGTAATACTTGTTTTCCTTAATAAATTGGCTACGGTTACCTCTGGACGTAGCCCCACCGATTTTGGTGGTTCAAACCGGGATATATATATATATATATATATATATATATATATATATACATATATATAGATATATATATACATATATATACATATATATACATACATATACATATATATACATATATATACATACATATATATACATATATATACATACATATATATATATATATATATATATATTACAAAAATAATAAAATAAATAAGATAATCAATGGAAACTAACTTGAAATTGGTAAGAGTAAAATAAAAATATACGGGTGGGTTTTAATATTTTACGTATTATACAAAGTATTAACATATCACTACTTATTTTTTAGAAAAAAATTATCTACAATAATTCCAATTTTACCGGACGGCTTGTTCTTTTAAAAAATAAGTAGTATATTAAGACTTCGTATAGTGTGTAAAATGTTAAAACCCACCACTCCGTATATATTTATTTTATTTCTTACCAGTTTCTGTTTAATTTCTATTGATTAAATTATTTATTTGATTAATTTGTACTGTTTTAGTTATTTTTGTCATTTTCATTATTTTTATATCTATTTTTTTATAAGGTAAGAATAATTTTTAAAAAAGAAAAAGAAATGGAGGTTGAAAGTAATTCAAAAAATTTAAATAAAAATTTCAAAAAAAATTAAAAAATAAAAATTCATCAAAAATAATCTCAACTTTCATTTTGTTGTCCAAAACGGGTATTTCCGTTAACCCTCCGTTAGAAACTTAACGGCGACCCAAAATTGGCAAATTTCAATAAAGTTGGGATTATTATGCATCACAGTGAAAAATGGGATTATTTTTGAAAAACCGGGTAAAGTTAGGATTATTTTGGGTAATTTTTTCTAAATTCTATTGATTACATTATTTATTTGATTAATTTGTACTGTTTTAGTTATTTTTGTCATTTTCATCATTTTTATATCTATTTTATTCTAAGGTAAGAATAATCTTCAAAAAAGAAAAAGAAATGGAGGTTGAAAGTAATTCCACTGTGATGGAAAACATCAGATTTTAAAAGGGGCATCTTGTAGAAAATGTTGCTAACCAAATGGGACAACTGCATACAGGTTTCTACAACATTAAATGCATCACAACCGGTGATTCCTTGAGCCAATTCCATCAAGAACAGCAAGTCCGACTTAACCTTAAAAACCAGATACAGAAGACACTTAGTTCCAAAAGACTCACTGTCCGAGCAACCATATAAATAGGTGCGAAGCATAAGTGCCCGCAAAAGGAATAGATCAGGGGATTCGATTGGGATAATATGAGATTTTGAAGCAGGTGAACGACCTTGGGGGGTGGCTGTGGGGTTAGGGTTTCGTCCCTCAGGGTAAGAAAGGTCGTCCTCCATAGGGAAACTAAAAAAAATAATGTGTTGTGGAGTTTTTTGTTTTTTTCATTCCTTCAAAAATTATATGACTTTGCAGTGTACATTGTGTTTCTTAGATGGATCAGAAGGTTACATGTTTTCACACCAACATCATTTCGTATCACCTGTCAAGAAGGATTCCGAGCAAAAGGTAAGATAACAAACACAAGAGAATTGTGAAGACATTTGAAAATGGATCAAATATCAAGTACAAAGGAAAGGGAAGATAGAACCAAAGCCCTCAAAAGTGAAAAAAGATAAAACTAAATAGAGGCCTAAAAATATCCCCCCTCCCCCCCCCCCACACACAAAAACAAAGTGTATGCAAATATGAAAACTCAGAGTCAAGTAAAAAGATTCAACTCTACTAAAAAATAACACCCACTATTTTGCGGTTGATACGAATCTAGACTCCCGGAATTTTTGAAAATAGATTGATGGCACTTAAAACAAGGAATATTCTGAGCGTGAAGGTGCCTTCCCAGGATTTGGTTTGATAGCAGAGAAAGAATATTCTAATGGCTCGTCATTATATTGATGCAAGAACGAACATGTAGTTTATATTCAAGGATAAAATCACGTACCCAAAAATTATCACAAAAATAAAATGTGTCTTTAGTCCAGTTGCCTAGAAATCTACTTCATTTTTGTAGTAAGTTTGTGCACCAACAGGGAAGCGAAAGGCCTCAGTAGCAGCGACGCATGCTTCACGCCGTGTCAACCAACCTGTTCCAGCGCCAAACGGAAGTCTGCCTCTTTCAAGTGGTCTGATAAGGCTGCTATCCACAGGCCTGGACTTTCAATGTATTGGGAAGGAAATGCCCAAATGTTAAGCCTATAAACCACCTCAGAAGATTGCTTCTTTACTTGTGTTTTAAATTTTTAATTAGCTAACTTTGTGCTTGTATTACTGATTGGCATGAATGCTTTTTATTAAGCCTAGAAACCACCTCAGAAGCTTGCGTCTTTAATTGTGTTTTAAACTTTCAATTACCTAACTTTGTGTTTGTATTACTGATTGGCCTGAACGCTTTTTATTTAATAGGGCTATGCCCCGGTTGTGTTGTATGGACTCGAGGTGATGATGATTATTTACATGTTACCTCCTGATAATAGGGGTGCAACCATTGGATTATGGTTTAATAATACAGATATAAAATAGATAAAACCCAACAACGTTGAAAGTAAAGGTGAAAGTTAAGGGACGGTTACCTTCAGATCACGTTCTATGGGATTGTGCCACTGTGGGGATGTTGAGAAGCTCTTTGAAGCAATTGTTAATCTACCACAGCATTTCATTTTTCAGCCATAATTTGAAGATTTTTCTTTGATACCGTGTATCTTTTTATGCTGAATAAATGGGAAAAGAGTTAGGTACCCTCGAAGAAATATGCTTTTCCTGTTAGAATATATGGGACTTTAGTGTCCCCAATTTGGTAAAACACATCTAGGAGTTTGGTGTCCCCATACCCCTATTTGGGTAATTTCATTCGTTGTTCCAACGAGTAAGTACAACTAAGAATCAGACTCATGTGTATACATGGAAACATACGTGAAATTATAGTAGATGAACAAATGGCCGCCACCTAGAAAAGACCAGACCCAAATCCAAAGCTCAACCTAAAATGTAACCATAACCATACCAAAAAACCAGGAAAAACAAAAAAGGCAAACCCCAGCGCAGGATATACCCCAAAACAAGCCCCAAACCAAGAATCAAAACCCCAA